TAGCACTATGTGTACAATGGAAAAACAAGAGCTAATATACACCTAGAGATATGAGCACTGGTATATAATTTTAAGGTTTACAACCAAGAAATCCGGAGGACAACCAAGAGAGTAGCATATGGTTGTCCCTCAAGAGTTTTGCATCACGTGAGCAGAGCGCATGCAGCACATGTTTAAATAATATCCGGACAACCTCAGTGACTGTAAAGCAAAAGGCCTAATCATGTACATTTTGTACGTATTGCAGTGACAGCAGACATGGCCATTCGCATTGTTTCACTCATTATATGAAGAGAATAAAATATTGGTAATGTGGTAAATGATGCTGGGATCAATGACGTATAATAATAGTAATTAAAAGTTGCATGAAATTTATTTCATAACATTTACATTAAGTTAACTAATGTGTACTAATAGTACTAAATAATACTACTAACATTACTAACACTGTGTCAAGTCACAGATGAGTATAAATTGAAAATTAACACGAAACATTGTGTTAATAATTGTGTTAAAAACATTGTGTTAATAAACGAAACATTGTGTTGTTAAACACGTGATGTTATACTTTGTATCAAGGAAGCCAGACAATGCGTCTAGACATGTACGTTTTCAGCGTATTGCGCAACCCTGGCCGTATGAAAAATGAACGCGCGCATTATGAATATAAATTTTTTATAGAGGTTGGACACCGGACAACCACGGAAGCAATTTGTAGTTGCCGAGAGAAAATCCGACGACTGTTAAAATTGAGCCCTGCATAATCCAAGCTGTTGTAACACCTAAACCTGTAAACAGGCCCTTCTATGTAGAATCCCTTATTTCTAACTTTCTAATGTTTTTAATGTACTAATAAAAATTCTAATGTAAAACACGTGTACACACGGTCTTATTCCAAGCATTTGCTGCATGGGTACTCATGCACCTAAAATGCGTACAAAAATTCGCCTATTTGCACAGCCTGCTCATGCATTTGGCTAGTGTTCAGATGAACAGCCTAGCTATCCGGCCTTAATTCTTGCACCTATAGCTATGCGGCCTTCTTGCACCTATATATGCATCCTAGCACATGTCCATGCACGCGCATCATCTTTTACATACTGCATGGGTTGAAATTCACAGCCTACGCAGTGAAAGGTTGGCATATATACATATATAACTACTGAGCTCTATTAATTGTCCCGTGGCTAGGTGCTAGGTGAATTTGCCTATCATATTATTATATAGAGGAGTGTATATTAGATATAGAGTACATGAATACTATATATATATAATATATATATATGTATAATATATTCATATGTAACCCCCGGTATAGTAATTAAGGTGTCTATAGTTAACCCTAATTTTTTTTCTAGTGCTATGTCAACAGGAAGACACCTTGGAGGTACAACTGTATAGTTATTCACGGCAGTGCTTCGTTTGCAAATATGGCTACGGAAATCGGGTGATCGTTCCAGACACTCAGTCATCAAGTATGTATATAGACGTAGATAAATAGGTGGGTGTGATCGAGTATACTGAATACCCATACCCAAAAATGCTTGCTACACTGTCAATTAACATAATAGAAATAGAAAGTCGTCCTAGCTATTTCAAATATTTGAAATCATAATTAATAGTAATTCCAGAAAGAAATGTAAAGACTTTCATTTTCATGTAACACCTAGAAAGTGGGTATGTTTGCCTGAAGCAACAACTGATTTGGCAGCTACAATGATATTTTCACTGGGCACCTTATATCAGCCAACCATCTAACTTTATAACGACAGCCAATTATTTTTAAACTTCATTTTCTTCTTCTTCTTTTGAAGCTCTATAGAATTCACATGTGTTATTATATTTCAATGTTTAGGAGTATTGGAGCTGAGTGAGCTAGACGATTGTGGAGATCGCACTCGCATGGGCTACACTGATAGCGAATACATAGAGACCTGTAATGGACAGTGCATCAAGGAGAAGACGTATGTTGATGGTGAGTTGACCAAATAAGCATATTGAACATAAGGCACATATAGGCATAACTGTGGTATCATTATAATTTATATGCATGACAGTGTTATTGAACTGTAAAATACAATATGAGTAGCGTAGTTGTTGATACAGTGCAGCATTTATTTTTACATCATGTAATTTCATGTAAATTGAATAAGCCCTAGCCATTTTTGTCATCCTTGAGACTATGCTGTACCTCGAAGCTGTCTTGCTTCCCAATCTGTCTTGCTTTCCCATTTTTGGGGTAAACCATGCAGAACCGTGATTCTATAAAAGGTTGTTTGATATCAACGTGTTCAGGGGACCTCCCTGGACAACTTCTAGGTGGACAACCTTGAAAATATGCTGCTGCAAAAAAATGGCAGCCATTTTTCAAAATGGCCACCGTGTGTAACTAATGATGATCAATTTTTAAGATAATGTTTGAATAGAACTTCCTCTCACCATGTGTGTGGTATCATATTAAAGGGAATTAAATTCTCTACATGATGATACTATATTTAATGGGCTTGGTGATGATTTTAATGACAATTTTGGGCCAAAAATGTGATTTTTTACCATTTTTTCCCAAAATATGAATTGCACCAAAATACATTTTTCTCCATATTTCAAAAGTCCTTTTGACTAATCAATTAAAACTTTTCAGAAAACTGCCCATATGTATGGTTAATATTGTCGCAAAAGCGCAAGTTCATTGCTTTTCTAACAATAAAGTGATATTGCTCCAAAGTTGACATTTGGATATTAACTAAAAACCGCATTTTGTACATTATAGTGGGGTATTTTTTTGCTAAAATTTATTTTTTTGATTTATCGAGTTGATTTAGGGTCAAACTATCAGAAAATGGTGGGGATCAAATTTTCCGACCCCTCGACCCCGGCCCGGGGGAGAGGGCTTTTTCCCCATGACCCCCTGACTGACCCCGGGCCTGTTTCTGCTAATAATGAACCTATTATCACAATCCTGGAATCATTGCAGGGGTTTGGGATGATGCTGAGTCTATTTATGACAATTTCAAAGCGACCGGAAGTGGCCATTATTGACTTCCAGTTACGATCTTCGTTAAATTCAATGTCATTATCATGGCAGTGATAAACCTGGTCATATAGTACCTCTTTCTATAGGTTTTCAGGCATGGGAAGACAACTGGTGCAGTCATTTTTGCGACCAGATAGTCATGACAAGAGATAAGGGCACTTTAAGTGGCTATCGCAGACTATACCGGTTAGGATCGACTAGTCAGATCTGGTTGTCCTGTCTGGCAACAAGAAGCAATTTTTCCTTGTCCGAATTTTTACGGACATTTTCTTACCGTCTATGAGCCGTTAAGGTATATTTTGGGTTCAGTACATATCATATTACAGTATATACATGGAAAATTGTAAGGAAATTCAGAGTGTGTGAAACGAACCTCGTCAATGATCTTGCAGACGCGTCTACATTGGGAGCGATTACCAGAGGATTCTTGAGGAGTCTTGCCCACTGGGTGCCGCCTCGTTGACGAAAATCACTGTTCTTCCATCTATAAACTACACTTTATTGAACTAATATCGAAATAAAGCTCCAAACATGCAACACAACGCCGCGTACTCGTGATACAGTCAACACGCACACACACACAATACACGCTAGTGTAATGATATTGATTGTCTCGCCTGACATGCTCCTTGAGCAGTATAATGCAGATGACAAGGAAGAGAGTGGTCTGGACGGCATAACACTGAACGAGGCTGCTCAGACCAAATGGATATACACTAAACCTGTCACGGCAGCGATCTCTGCAGAACTGAAGTCTATATTGCACCTGAACACTGCCAACTCGCATCACGTGTCCGGTCCAACCCGAGTGGCAAGGGATGCAGAGATGGTCCAGAAAGTGATAGCAGCCATGGAGACCAACCCATTCTCAGCAACAATGCCAGCCCTGGTTAGTCTATCAACGGGGCAGCGTGCAGAGGCAGCAGTCCAGGAACACCTCATCGGTGTGAAGAAACTTGGTCTGAAGGCATTGCATGTCCAGTTCCATATCCAGTGATCAAAAGAAGACGTCCATCGTGAGGTTGAAAGCTTCCACACGCAAAATTTAAAGCCAAAGAAGTCGACAAGGAACAGTGCACCAGGCAAGAGTGATGAAGTAGCTGCCCTTCTTCGCATAACATATATCATGGCCAGTGGTGGAGATGTCGACATCGTCAACTTTATTGGCAACCATGAGTGTAGTAAGATGCCCCCGTCTTTATTCAATGAAGGTGGAAGCATGAGGGCTGCAGGTACAATGGCTAGTCTCGTGAAGACCCTGAAGGAGGAGACTCAAGTGACCAGTGTTGCTGATCTGCCACAAGGAAACCTGAAGACAGCAGTGGTGGTTGACGCAATGCATGCCATAAGCCACTGGTCAATGGTCATTCAAGAAAGATAAAACATTCGGAGCCATTGCTGATCGCTACAAGCACCAGCTGCTGAAAGATGTTCCTGCTGGCACAGCTAGGGATTATACATTTCTGCTGTGACCGATACAGTGAACAAAGCCTCAAATCAGCAGAGCAGCAGCACATGTACGACCGATCCAGACCAGCTAAGGTGTTTGAAGTCAGTGAGAAGTACCGAGCCCCAGACCCACAAGAATTCTTCTCAGTATCAGTCAACAAAGCTGGACTTTTGAGTTTCCTGTGTGAGACGGGGACCGAGAGTGAACAGCTAGATCCAGCACTGCATGGGTTCAACTCGCCTTTACCTAGGCGGAGGATTCAAGGAAGAAACCTGAGTGGGCTGCTCACCGAAGGGTCCGCAACTGTACGTCACTGCCTTGTACACAGTATACACAGCAGGAGGCTGATACAAGAGTCATGCTTCATGCTATATACAGCGTTCAGAATAAAGATGTTGAGAGATCGAGTGATCATCCACGGCAATGACACGGTTATCGTCATCATCTGTGTCTACTATTGACCTGGATGAGCAGTAGCAAGACTACAGACATATCTAAACTTGAAGACTTTGGCGAGCAAGGTCAGCAAGACATCACATTAATTTGGAACTCATCGACCAGGCACGCAAGCTTGTCATCACCGTGTACTCTAAAAGAGCTGATGACCTCGAGGAGTGTAATCTTGGAAAACTGAGGGTCTACAAATTCCTGAATAACAGGTCAACTCTGCTGAAGCTGCTACCACCAACAGAAGATGCATTTCTTGACAACACCTACGACGTGCAGCTCTAGCAACTTTCATAGACAAGAGTGCACACATTGGCAGGCCAGAGCTTCCCCCATTTGAGGAGTATGGCTGGGCTCTGCAGGATGGGAAACTTGTCCCAGTCCCTTCAACTCAACCAGCCTGGCTGCAGACAATGACAAAGGCCATCGCGTGTGGCTGCACCAGAGGGTGCAACAGAAACTGTTCCTGTGCGAAGGCTATTGCATGTTACATTGGATGTTGCTGCCAGGGATCC